CGCATGGGGGCGGGCACGGAAGAAGAGGAGGTGAAGGAGGCCTCCAAAGCTGCAACATGGGTGGCCAGGCCATGGAGCGAGACCTCAGTAGAGTCGAACTTGGCGAAGGCTCGACCTAAGTCGCTCTTGCCACCACGGGCGAGGCGAACTGCGATCCGACACAACCGTTCGATACGGGTGCGGACGCCCTCCTGGCAGGGCGAGACCGTGGCACGGACGCGAGCCTCGGCGGGAGCGAGGCTAGGATGACCCAAAGTGAGCCAGTTCAACGCAATAACAGAATACTGCGCGAGCGTCCGCGCCGCGCGCCGCAATCTCCAGCGCCCCCTGCGCCTCGCCGACAAGCCGTCAGGCGGGGGACCAAGAGGTGGAGCAGGCGGGCACGGCCAAGGATCGCGGGGAGGCGGCCCCAAAAGGTACGGGTCGTCCCGGTCCATTGCACGCATAGATGAGCGGGAGAAAGATCCAAGAGAACATCGAGCACCCATCCCAACCTGGGACAGCGCTGCCGCCCAGTGGGTGATATCAATGTTCGCACCTGGAAACAGGCGCAGCAAGGCAGACAAGTCAGCGACAAATGGCGCGACGTTGGCAAGAGCAGCAGGGGTGCTTGAAGGAGAACAAGCACCAGCAAGAACACCAACCTCAGGGGCTGCAGGCCCCATGGGGGGAGCGCTCGACTGAGGCAGGTGACGGCCAAAATGGCCGAATGGATCCGAGGGGCGGTTCGGAGCAGAGCGAGGGGCGTGGTGGCGGAACGTACTCCTCCCTGCGGGGCCGCAACAGCATCGCTGGAGGAGCGCATTCCTACCCTCACGCCCTCGCTGCGCCCAAACACGCCTAGCAGCCATAGCAGCGTCGGTGCAGACTGTCTGCGGCGGCGTACCTCGGCCACGCGAAGGCCCCCCCTCCAAGAAGGCGGGCGCCAAGGGCATCTTCAGTCCTTCTTGGGCACCGCCTTCGGGGCCTTGGGAGCACCCTGAGATTTGAAGGGGGGCTTTGAGACCTTGGGCTGCTTGGGCTGATGAGGTGGATGCTTGGGGAGCGCGACGGCGCGCTCGGCGTCGAGGCGCGCCCGAAATGCTTGCAGCTCCTTCATGTATTCGCCCTGCGCCGACAGCCAGCGAGGATCCACTAGGGGTGAAAACGGGGTCTGGGCCTCGCGCTCCGTGTGACGACTGGTCACGCGACACGGGGGAGGCTCCAGCCCCGTGAGGAACCAAGCGGCCTCGAGGTAGCCGCGGTCCCCCGCCAACTGGTCGATGAACATGCACTGGCAAGTCAGCAAGGTCTGGACCCTCTCGGGGTTGCCCTCCTCGCAGGCCCGCCACAGCTCGGCGCTGAGGAAGGCAAAATGCGTCAACAACTCGTGCGTCGACGGCTGAGCCCCGAGGGGGCTGTGCTCGCGAAAGTACTGATGCATGGCCATGGGGGTCACGGCGCTGACTTCCACGCCCAGAACGCGGGCCAAATTCTCCCTCATCAGTCCTCGCACGTCGGGGCCGTGCTGCATCAGCGCTTGCTGCCACTCGCGCCTCCGAGCGATTCCCCCCATCTGAGCCGATGCGTGCGCGGGGTCGCCCGAGGTCGCGGGCGGAGTTTGAGCTTGGTCGCTCAGGGTCCCCAGAAGCGGGTGGAAGGCTGGGCGATGGCCCCGCCCCTGCTGCAAGGAAAGGGACTGGTGCAGGCACTGAAGCATGAGGCTGAAGTCCGTCGGATTGGCCGCAAGGGGCGGCTCTAACCCGTCGGCGCCGCCCACCTCGGCAAAGCCGTCGACCGCAGCGGGATAGGCTAGCCCAGGCGGCGGCGGGGGGCCCATCGGTCCGAAAGCGGACGAAGGGGCCCGAGGGACAGCAGAAGAGCGCGCCTTCTCCCACGCCGAGACCAGCGCGGAGGTGGGTCCCTTGGGGCGCGCGGAGACCCGATGAGGGGCCACGGGTGCGTGGGACAAGACGGCCTCGATCCCCGCAGGATCCAGCCCGAGGCGCGCCGCCTCGTCGCTGAAAAGCTGAGGCACCTCGGGCCGAGCGCTCTGGGCAGCCGGAGCGGGGCCCAGCGGTTCGGGTCCGCCGACCATCGTGGAGGCCGCGTGGGCTGCAAGCAAGGCGCGCATTTCGGCAGCTACCTCGGCGCGGGTCATGGGAGCCCCGTCGTCCAGAGACGCCGCAGGAGCGCCAGGAGCAATCGGAGCAGGACCCGCGACCCGTGGCGGCGCGGCGGCGCCAGCGCGCTTGGCGGGCGGGCCGCGCGGCGCTCCAGCGACCGCGGGGGCTCGCGCACTTGGGGCCGCGCGGTCGGCTTCCCCGTCGGCCGCGAACCCCTCGGGCTCCTCCATCTCGTCGGCAGAGTGGTAGGGGGTAGCCCGATCGGCCCCTGGGAGAGGCTCTTCCCCTGCGGTAGGCGGGGCGCCGTGCAAACGAGCGTAGCCCTCGCGAAGCACCCGAACCCCCGAAGGATGCGGCCAATAGACGCGGCTGCGCACCTCGGCGAAGGGAACGATGCCTGCGTCGTCGCCGACCTCTAGAGGGTACAGCGACTCGAGCTCGAGCTCGGAAACCTCGATATCTATAACGAGGACGGATGCGGTAGTGGCGAGCGGCCGTGAAGCGGCCCCCTGGAGCTGGACGTCCACTAGCTGGAAGGGGCCTATCATCCCAGCAAAGCCATCCGCCTCGGCAGCCTCGAGCTCCGCTGTAGAGCGAAAGGCACCAGGCAGGGCCAGCAGGATGCCCCCTTCTCGAGAGGCGAGGGGGATAGCCGCCCAGCTGGTGTCGCCGTCGTCTAGGCGCCATCGTGCGTAGTCGCGCGCCGTGGGCGCAGCGAAAGGGTAGAGCTCGGGCCAAAGGGGCCCTCCGCCAACTGGTGGCAGCTCCGCCATCAGTGGGCGCCGCCGTGGACGCCGCCGCCCGCACGCTGGGCGCCTGCCCGCTCGAGCGCTTGAGGTCGAGGCGGAGCCCCGTAGGCCAGCGCTCGCGCCGCACGGCGGTCCTGCTCAGGTGAAGCAGAAACCGCGCCGCGCGGCCAGGCGAAGGGCCAGAGCCTCCGCCACACGTACGGGCCCAGCAGCCCGAGGCAGCAGCCCGCGCAGGCGCTGCAGGCGGCCGTCACCCAGAGGAGGGCGGCGACCGTGCTGAGCAGCCAGGGAGAGACCCCGCCGCTCAGGTCCACCGCCAGCCCGAGGCAGACGGTGGGGCAGGTGGAACCCGCCGAAGGGAGAGGGCAGGAGGCCCCCTCGCCCTCGGACGAGTCCGCCTGCAGGATGGACCAGGCAGGAGCTGGAGGCCCCTGGTCCTGAAGCACAGAGAGGGGGGCAGCCACGAGCCGCTCGTAGAGCGCGGCCCGCAGCCCCCTGAACAAAATCTCCCCAGCGCCCTGGAGAGCCGCTTGTGCGACCGCCTGCATAAGGCGCCCGCACGCGCGGCCGACGGGGGGCACTTGGGCAGAGAAGCTGCGGAGACAGCAGGAGCTTGCTCACAGAGAATAGAAGAGGCATCATCATCATCATCATCATCATCATCATCATCATCATCATCATCATCATCATCATCATCATCATCGTTTTCATCATCATCATCATCATCATCAGCAGCAGCAGCATCATCAGCATCAGCATCAGCATCAGCATCAGCATCATCATCATCCTCATCATCATCAGCATCAGCATCATCAGCATCAGCATCAGCATCAGCATCAGCATCATCATCAGCATCATCATCAGCATCAGCATCAGCATCAGCATCAGCATCATCATCAGCATCATCATCATCATAATCATAATCAGCATCATCATCATCAGCATCATCATCAGCAGCAGCATCATCATCCTCGCCATCATCATCAGCAGCAGCATCACCATCATCATAATCATCATCATCACCACCACCACCATCATCATCATCATCATCAGCAGCATCATCATCAGCATCATCAACATAATCAGCATCATCATCGTCATCAGCATCATCATCATCATCAACGGAATCAGCATCATCATCATCATCCTTATGAACATCATCGTCGTCATAATCGTCATCCTGAGCATCAGCATCAGCATCATCATCAGCATCAGCATCATCATCATCGTCATCATCAGCAGCATCGGCAGCAGCAGCATCGTCATCAGCATCAGCAGTAGCATGATCATCATCAGCAGCAGCATCACGGTCATCAGTTGCAGCATCATCATCAACAGCATCATCATCATCATCATCATCATCATCAGCATCATCATCATCAGTATCATCCTCAGCAGCATCAGCATCAGCATCATCCTCATAATCACCATCAGCATCAGCATCATCGTCATCATCAGCATCATCAGCATCATCAGCATCATCATCAGCATCAGCATCAGCATCATCAGCATCATCGTCATCGACATCATCATCAGCATCACCATCAGCGTCAGCATCATGATCATCATCATCATCATTATCATCATCATCATCATCATTATCATCATCATAATCAGCATCATCATCATCATCATCATCATCATCATCATCATCATCATCATCGTCAGCAGCAGCAGCATCATCATCATCATCATCCCCCACCTGATCCTCCTCCTCCTCCTTCTTATATTTATTCTCCTCCTTCTCCTTTTTCTCCTCCCTCCTTACCTCCCTCCCTCCCTCCCTCCATCCATCCCTCCCTCGTTTCTCCCTCCTCCTCCCTTCCCGCCTCCAGCCTCCATTCTCCCTCCTCCCTCGTCCATCCCTCTTCCCTCCTTCCGACTCCCTACTCCCTCCTCCCGCATCCTGCCTCCCTCCTCTCTCCTCCCTCCTCCCGCCTGTCGCCTCCTCCTGTTCCTTCCTCTAGAAGGGAGGCACGGCGCGTGGGGTGGGAGGGGGGCGGAGGGGTGTTCAACGAACGTCATGCCAGCCCTGTCCACCAGAACTAAAGCGAGCACTCACCGGTCCACGTGATGCCGATTGCTTGCGCGCGCAGCTGTGGAATCCCCCTCCTGCCAACCAGCTCCAGTCTCGGAGGGGGGGCACCTCCATGGCGAGACCCACAGGCGGGCAGGCCCGAGGCCTGGCGCCGGCCGCGGGCCCCTCCCACCCTCCCTCCTCGGGCCAAACGGCTCAGGAGCCCCGCGCGCCGCCTCGCCGCCGTCGCCGTCGTCGTCTCGTGGGGCATCTTAGGGGGTTCCTGGACGCGCTGGGGCCCCCTCGTGAGCGGTCTTGGGGGCTGACTTCTAAGCCGCTTGGGGCCATCTGGGCCGTTTGGCCGTGGGGGGCACCTTGGCCGTGGAGGAGGCCGTCCAGGGTCTAGGGCCACATTGGCCGTGGTGGAGACCATCTTGGACCGTCCAGGAGGCCTGCTAGGCCGACATGGGGCCCATCCCACGGCGGTGTCCTGGCCGCCAGTCGCCGTTGTTGGGGCTGCTCGGGCAGACCTCAAAGTCAGCTCGCCTATCCAGCGCGGGTTTCGGTAAGGCCCTTATCCGAGCTCTGGTTTGACGACCACCCCTCTTCGCCCCACTGCTTGCGATCACACATTCTTGGTCAAGGTAGCCCGAACTGAATTCGGTCGTGGACGGGCCAGTGGGGACAAGAGAAGAGTCAGCACCATATACTTGGCAGGACAGAGAATACGGGGTGTGTGAGAGAAGAAGCAACTGCAGCCACGCATACAGATAGACATGTCGTCATACTGACAAACACACTGGCAGACAGGCAGGCACAGACACCTTATTACCACCATTAGTGGAATGCCATCACCACAGCGAAAGTCAAAATGGGCTACAAAGTAGCATGAGAGCTAGAATGAGACAAACACTGACACACACACACACACACACATTCACACACACACACGCACACGCACACGCACACGCACACGCACGCGCACGCACGCACGCACGTACGACCGCCCGCACACACACACACACACACACACACACACACACACACACACACACACACACACACACACACACACGCGCGCGCGCGCGCACGCACGCACGCACGCACGCACGCACATACGCACGCACCCGCACGTACACACATCTATACACACACACACGCACGCACGCACGCACGCACGCCAGCACACACACACACACACACTCACATTCACATACAAGCACACAACAAAAACAACAACAACAACAACAACAACAACAACAACAACAACAACAACAACAACAACAACGACAACAACAACAACAACAACAACAACAATAACAACAACAACAACAACAACAACAACAACAACAACAACAACAACATTAACAACCGCAGCAGCAGCAGCAGCAGCAACCACAACAACAACAACAACAACCACAACCACAACCACAGCCACAACAACAACAGCAGCAACATCAACAATACCATCATCAACGACAACAACAACAACAAAAAAACAAAAAACACCAAAAACAACAACAAACAAACGACAATAATAACAACAACAACAACAACAACAACAACAACAACAACAACAACCACAACAACAACAACAACAACAACAGCAGCAGCAACAGCAGCAGCAACAGCAGCAACAACAACAACAACAACAACAACAACAACAACAACAACAACAACAACAACAACAACAACAACAACAACAACAACGACAACGACAACGACAACGACGACAAAAACAGACACGTCCCTCTCCGTCACTCCGCTGCAACCAAACTGCGGAACGAAGTAAGCTCCCTTGCGACGAGGTGCACCTGTCAAATCGCGAAACACACTTGGGCCAATCAGCTCGAAGACCAGACGGCGCAGGACTGAGGGGCCAGATGAGCGCGGTGGGCACTGCGACCGGGCGCGAGCAGGCCGTACAACGTGCGCGAGAGGGTGCCAGCTGCGGGCCACACCGAAGGTTCGCGGTTGCGAGGCTGCGATGGGGCCCGTGGTGTGCGCGGCTGCCGGGGGCCCGTGGGTGAGTGGAGTGCGCCAGCAGCTGTGTTGCCCGTGGCTGCGCGCGGCTGCAAGTGGCCCGGGGCCCCCGATGGCGCGCGGGAAATCGCAGCGCGCAGGGCGACCCAGCCCAAACGACGCCCGGCCTGAGCGCGGGGGGGCCGCCCACAGCCGCACCCTGGCGCGGCGGCGAGGTGGAGGCGCCCGCGGGGGCAGCAGCTCCCCAGATGCGCGCCCGAGATGACGCATGGCTGCACTTCTTGAGAAGGTCCTGTACGAGGGAACACTCTTGGCGCCAGCCCTGAAGGCGCCCCCCCCATCTTTTCGACTAGGGCGTGCAGGGGCCCAGGCTCGAGAACACCCGGGTCGTCGCGGAAAGAGGGACACCCCTTGAGACGGCGCGCAGGAGGACTTGCGCACTGATGTCCAGACGCCCTCCGGAGCTCCTGACCTGCTGGGCGCGCCCGAGGAGGTCGGCAGCGGGGTGGGCGGACGTCGCCGCGCACCCGCAGGGCTGCCCCGAGGCGGGGATGCGGGTCGCCTGAATGCCCATGCCTTCGCGGGCTTGGTGGCCGAGGGCGCGGCCAAGGAAGGCGGCGAGCTGTCCGCCAGAGCAACGCGCGAGGCCGCCTTGCGTGATCTTCATCTCGATGAAGAACTGGCGCCAGAAGCGAGCTCAGCCGAAGCCGAACTGCGCAAAGGCCTGAACAGCTACCACCATGTCGCGCGTCGAAATGGGCGGAAGGGCCGGTCGCCGGCGCCAGGGGGGCAGGGCCGGTGGTGCCTCCAGGGCTGCTGGCGCCGCTGGGGGGCCCATTCGCCTGGGGGCTTTGTGCTGACATCTCCCGAAGCGCCCCCGTCGCTGGCCGCGGCTGGCGAGCTGGGCCTCCGCGAGGTCTACCGGCGTCTGGCGCAGCCCCCCACTGCACACGGGATGGACATGGAGCTGCTGGCGGCGTCGGGGGCGGGCGGGCCAGGCGCGGTCGCCCCCCTCATTCTCTTGGGCGCTGGGCGAGGCCGCGAGCAAAGCTGCGGGGCACCTGGCAGTGGAGCTGGGCGTGGACGAATTGCCAGAGGTCGCCATCAGGCATGGTGGAGAAATCGCAACGGCAGGCGCCTGGCGCGGGGGCCGCCGCGCCTTGGCCGCGCGATCTCGCCGCGCCAGCGGCGTCGCTGCCCGCCGAAGGCCGCCTGCCAGGGGCGAGCTAGGGACCTGCCCCAAGCCCCCCAGTAGAGGCGGGGGTGCCGATGGCAGCGGGGGGGGCATTTTATTCGTCTGGCAGACCAGCGGCGTTCATCGGGGGGAACCTGGGCGCGATCCAGGGCTCAGTCAGGTAGCGCTGGTGGAGGAGGTCTTCGACGTCCCGCCCAGGGGGAATTCGCTGCAGAGGGCGAGGAGCTGACCTGTGGTAGGGCGTAGAAGCTGCGTCGGAACCGGTGCAAGTCGGCTGCGCGGTCAGTGCAGCAGCGAACGGGGGTCTTGGCTGCACTGCCCAGCGGACCAGGCGCCGGGGGGGCGAGCGGGACTGCCCGCCGCCGGGAGGAGGGTCAGAAGAACGGGCGGGCCCACGGCCTGGTGCGGAGGGGCTCTTGCTTCGCGAGCCGAAGCGGACGGTGCCCTGGTCGCGGGGTGGAGGGCTGCGTCCCAGAAGCACACGGCGCAACGGGGAGCCGAGCGGCGGGAACTCGTCGTCCTTCCAGACGATTGCACGTCGAGCGAAAGGCGGCCGCGCGCGATGCAGAGGGCGGCCAGGAAAACGCGCAGCAGGCGCTTTGAGAAACCCGAGGGCTTGACCACAGCCTTCTCCTGCTAGGCCTGGCTTGGGCTGTGGCTGTCGCAGAAGGCGCGCCAGTCCAAGCCAGAGCACCCGCGCGCGTTGAGACCGTCGACAAGGGAGGTCAGGGAGGATTTGGAGCTGGTGTCTGTGGTGCGCTCGAGTGCCTTGGCCTGCGCATCGTTGTCAGGCGCGGAAGCCGTGGCGTCGGTTCCTGTGCAGGAGTGAGCCTGAGTCCTGGCCGCCCACTTGCCGCCGTGTGGGGGCGGCTCGCGACGACGGGGTCTAGCGGCGGACCAGACCGCGGGGAGACCAGCGTCGCCCAGCCAGGGAAAGCAGAGCTGGATCCACCTTCTCGCCGAGAAGCGGCGGAGCTGGTCGTCTCCCCACGCGCTGGGCTTGGTCCGCGCACCCATCAGTGACACGTGTTGTTTGGTGAAGGCCGCCCACTCCGCATCCCAGCGGGTGGCATTGAGAGCGTCGGCGTTGCCCTCGAGCCGCTTCGATCTGAAGGTCTGCAGGGCAGCGCCAAGCCCGAGGTAGCAGTCCGTGTGGTCGGGTGGTACCTGGCGGGCGGCGTTGCTGGCCTGGCTGGTGGCGACTGTGGGATCGCCTTGGGGTCGTGCCTGGCCTCTGGAGAGGGTGACTGCCACCCCAGCGCGTTCCAACGCAGGGCAAAACTGGCAGCGGCCTCCAGGCCCAGCGCGCAGGCTGGCCCGGGAGCGACCGCAGCTGGGACATGGGCGGCCGGGGCGTCCAGGACCCGCTCGTCGGGCTGGGAGTCAAGACAGGAATGGGCTGCGTCCGATGTGGACACGCTGCCTGAGGTGTGCATTACAAGCCGCACAACTTTTGAGGGAGGACTCGATCGTCGCGTGGCAGTCCGTGACTTCGTCGGAAGAGATTGGGCACAGTACCTGGCCAATACCATCTCCCGGACGTCATGGCCCCCGGCGTGGCAGAATGCGGCAAGGCCAAAGAGGGCCTCGCGGAAGTCGGCGACGTTGCTGAGGTCTCTAAGCGACGAAGCGAAGTCGTCGAGCTCTCGCAGCGCCAATGTCGTGAGGAGGACGCGTGCAAGGTGGGCGGGGGAGGGCGATGCTGGGATCACGCCGTGCGCAGGGCCCGGCGAAACCTGGCCCGGCGAAAACAATCCCTGGCGGACACGGGCCTCGGCGAAACTGAGTCTCGGCGGAAATGGGTCGGCGGAACTGGGCCTCGGCGGAAACGGGCCCTGCGGAACTGGGCCTCGACGAAAGCGGGCCTGTATGAGAGCCCAACATGGTCCCAAGACAGTCCATGGGGCCTCCAAGAGGGCCCCTAGACGGCCAAAGAGGGCCCTAAGACGGCCCCCGGGGCCCCCAAGACGGCCCCACGGAGCCCCAAGAGAGCCCAAGAGAGCCCAAGAGGGGGAAAACGAACTGACATGTCCTGCCTT